CTAATACACGGACAGGTGTACACTCGCTCCCAAATGTAGAAATAGACTTGCTTATCAGGATGTAATACAAAAGTATGGCGCTTAGCACTTAAATCAAAAATCAGCAAAGTAAACAGAACTACACGCAATAAATATCATTGATTTTGGTACTAAATATTTCTGTAAATAATAGAAGTAAAATTTTTTTGCGCTCACTCCAACTATGCATACATATGTATGTTATGTGCATAGCTACATATGTATGTATGTATGATTACTTTTGATGTTGGATATTTCATAGGATTACTCTGTTATTTATTGGCTTCCCTCTCGATAACACATTTGTATACAGATTTTTCAACTTTATTTTGTATTTTTTACAATGTTATCAGTTTTTTGTTACATATGCTTTGGCGTGTAATTGGCCTCCGGCCTATAGAACTGCGAGTAAACATTGTAAAAAACAAATATGTATTTTCTGGTGTTACAAAAAATAAGACTATGACGAGCACAAGTGACTCGGCATATAAAAATTACATTTTATCAGATATTGTAACCTTCAATAAGCATGACGCAGGAGACCTAACCTACAACTTAACTGAAGCATATAAGCATGTATGTATGTATGTATGTATGTATGTATAGTATATGTAAATAATAGGTTGTCCAAAAAGGTTTGGGGTATATAGGTAAATAATAGGTTGTCCAAAAAGTCTTGGGGTATTTTTTATTTATTATTATTTTTTTATTTTATAACGGTTTGATGACTCATACCCAGCTATTGACCGATGCTACGGCTGCTACTATGCCGGTCTTTTTCGACCAATTCAGCGATTTTATCGCAATTTTCGACGACAGGCCTTCCGGAGCGTGGCGCATCTTCGACCAGCTCTACACCAGAACGAAAACGTTGAAACCATCGTTGTGCGGTGGAAATGGAAACTGTATCGGGTCCATAAACTGCACAAATTTTATTGGCGGCTTGAGATGCATTTTTGCCTTTATCGTAGTAGTACTATAAAATATGCCGTATTTTCTCTTTATTTTGCTCCATGTTTGCGACGCTATAACTCACGAACGACTTAAAGGAAACGACAATAAATCAAACACGTGTTAGCGCGTGAAATGAGCCTTTCAAAAAGGTATAGCATGACCTGATGCGACGAATAAAACTAGAACTACGCGCTCTCAGCGCCAACTAGTGAAAATGCCGCAAGACTTTTTTGACAAACAATATATGTATATGCTGCTCCGTAAGAATATATTGTTGTAGCTAAATTCCAATGCGGTGGCACATTACAAATACATATATATACATATTATTAACAGCTCAGTGATGTCATCTCATGCGAAAACTCATTAATTCAATTTTAAAAAAATTTGCGTTCTTATTTGGGCAACACCTAGCGCAGTATGATACATACAAACAAAAATACAAACAAATTTCAATTAATTTGCATAAAAATGTGTAGTTTTCACTTTAATTTGAAAACGAAGCGGCACGAATGATTTATAATTGGAAGTAGTGTAAAGATATTTGAATGAAATCTCTCCTCAACCTCTCGAAAAAGACAAACAATTAGATCCAAATATGGCTATGAATTTATAATTATATACACATGTACATCCATATATTTGTATGTATGTATTTTGTGCTTATATCTAGCTTAGATGATTGGCTGAGTTTTTAATTCCATTGTGAGACGCACCTTGATGCTATCCAAAAAGTAGAGAGGTTAAAAGACTTTGTTCATAATTTTAAAATTTTTAATTTATTATTCAAAATTTATGTCGTCCCCCCTCGAATTATTTTCCCACGCCTCGATAATCGAAGAAAACTGTCAATATAACCTTCATTTTTGACCTGCTTTGACGTGGTTTATTCTGCCGAATAATCGTCTGTTTCCGAGTCATATCATTGTATCCAAGACTCATCGCCAGTAATAATACGCTTCATGGCTATCAAAACACTTGCTCGCGACTAAGAATTATCACCGAAGGCCTTTTGCACAATCCTGAACGTTTTGATACAAGAAATTTGATTTGAAATATTGAATGTATTCTGTTCCCACTAACTCCTATAATTGTCTCAATCTCACGATAGGTCATTTGACGATCTTGCAATGTCAGTTTGCGCACAGCATCAATAGTTTCCGGAACAACAACTGATTTTGGGCATCCTTTATGAAATTCTCTTGGAATGATCTGCGACCGTAATTGAATTCACGATACCATCGATGAACACTGGTCTTGGATGCAGTTTCATCGTCAAAAATGTAATTAAGTTCATCGAAGCACGGTGCTGAGATTAATCCATGTTGAGAGTTGTGAAAAATAATTGCGCGAAAATGTTAGCGATTTAATACCTTTTTTCGGCCGAGATGAATATTTCAAATTACTGTAAACAATACAAGAAGCGTCCTTATGTGAAAACGTTCTGAGTACATACATAGTATAACATAAAAAATCTCGAACTTTACGATCAAGTGGTGAGTTGGTTAGATTTCAACTCTAGAGTTGCCAAATCCCGAAATATGAAAGGCAATATACGTATGCATGTTTATTTGTTCTTATTACTTCAGTAATAGACATAGGAGATCAATGAAGTAATTAGAAGTTCTGCCACATGCCACAATTTTACGCTTTTTTTGATCCCAACTTTTTCCTGTTGTTCCGATTGGAGGAAGATTGCAGTGGTCTCAAATCATGGGTGGTGTCACAACAATTCTCACAAGATAACTGTGGTGATTTTATGATATTTGTGAAGGTTACTTATAACATCAGTGGGGTCTACTGAACAACACGGATACAGTCCCTTAATGATTTATTGTATTGACATGGTCTTCCACTTGGGACGAAAAAACTACACTTATACCAAAATCGGTTCATAATTTCACGTACTGACGAATGTTTATTTCTAACTAAAGTGTATTCATTATTATTACAAAAATAATAACTGCTATACTATTTGCAATGTGCATATGCAAACACTGCAAACAATCCAAGTAAACCTTCGTGTTACATTTAAGAACACCAACACTATCTATCAACTTATATGTTCAACTTTCAGACATTTAGCAACAGCCCTAAGGAAATGCTTTTGTTTACGCTTATTTATGGCTTGGTTGCTGTGAATGTACCCCAATCCGACAACGATTCAAACGTCAGTAACAAGACCATATGAAAATTAGTTTATTGGCATAAATATTTATTTTTAATGTCATATAAGTTTGTTTGGACGTATATTTATGTATATATTTTTAATTTGTTCATCCCCTTATAATTAAAGCAAAGGAATCAAATATACCATATAGTACATAATAAAGTGTGATCTATTTCGAGGCGCTTTTAAAGAAAAAGACATAGAAATCTCAAATTTAATGGGGAATGATCATTATTATTCGAAAGAACATTATTTGACATTTATTTTTTGAAGACTATCTCTCTCAAATGTTGGCCGCGGCTGCGTTTCAGATGGTCCATGCATTGAGTCCAATTTCGGAGACTCGTTCGAGCATTTCAACAAGTAGGTGTCGAACGACACGCCTTATGTTTTGTTTCAAGGCCTGAATCGAAATGGGATTGTCCACATGGAATTTAGACTTTACATATTTTCATAGGAAAAGTATAACATTTTGATATCACACGATTTTGGTGACTAATCGACCGGACCGCTTTTAAAGAAATATGGACCGATGATTGCACAGGCCCACAAACCACACCGTTAGTTTTACTGGATAAAATGGCAGCTTCTCAATCTCTTTAAATTGCTCTTTGTCCTAAATGCAGCAATTGTGCTTGTTTACAGACGCATTGATCCAGAAATAGGTCGCTGTAAAAAATTTGGCTCGAAAAGGTCGGATTTTCGTGAAACTTTTAAGAGCCCATAGGGCAAAGCGATGTTGCTAGAGAAGATCTATCGGGTTCAGTTCGGGCGCAAGCTGTATTACACTTCCTATTTAATATCTCGACATAAAATGTGTTCCATACGTCAGTCTGAGTTGCTGCGAACGGCGCCGAATCGACTCTCCACAATCTTCGTGTACACTCTCAGTAGACCGATTATGTTAACCATAAGTCGATCGAAACGCGCGAAACACATACTTTACAGATCGTAATGAAGGTGAACGTTGTAAACGATATTTAGACGTAAGTCTTGCCGTGATGAAAAGCTAAAGAATGGTGAACACAAATATCATGATCAGATCTGTCAAATGAAGGCTATTGAATAAGCACCTCTACTTGGATCAGCCAATATAAATAAAAGTTTTTTTTATATGTTAAAGTAAGTAAAAGTAATGCAAATTATACTAAAAGCTCCCTTGATATTTTTCATGTTCATAAAAATGTATTTATCGCAAAATCTTGTATGGTACGGTATTACCCAGCTTAGTTGCGCTCAAAATATCGATTACCGTTAATGAACGCACTATTGAGTATTGTAAGCATGAAATATAAACTGTAATTTATGTTTAATAATAATAATTTATATTATGAGACCTAACTAACATAGTACTAAGTCTGTCTCTTATACACATCTAGATGTGTATAAGAGACAGGTATTACCCAGCTTAGTTGCGCTCAAAATATCGATTACCGTTAATGAACGCACTATTGAGTATTGTAAGCATGAAATATAAACTGTAATTTATGTTTAATAATAATAATTTATATATCTTACATATTTCTCAAGTGAGACCTAACTAACCTAGTACTAAGTTTGTGCATTTGATAATATATTACTAAGTGTTTTCCTCAATCGGAGATTCTGTTGATGTTATTGTGCCAAATCGAGACGAAGGTGAGATTTCAGGAGTAACACCGACTGTAATTCATAGTTCCTACTTTCCTACACTTTTCTAAAAGTGTAATCCTTTTGATATGTTCACAATCCACACTATCTGAAAGTAATTATGCAAGTATACGGAGACGCAACTAACTGGGATTCAATTAACTCGGGAATACTGTATATTATTTTAGGTATTTTTTATGTTTTCAACACATTCATACATAATACGTACTATTTAAAGTGCGCACGTCGGCAGTGGTGAGGTTTCCTTGTTTATACTTTCTTATCAGTTCCATGTTGACATGCTATATTCCAAGAAATATCAATTGTTTATGTTTCAAAAAACTTCAGTCGGGTTTCACCACAATAAATGTGTTCAAAGTTTCACTATACAAAAGCCGAAACCCATTTCAAACGTGATAAAATTTGGTTAAAGTAAATTCGTTGCGGGAAAAACACGATTATTAATATTTTCGATAAACAAAAAAAAAATCGCAAATAAAAATTTCAAGCTATTTTTGTTTATTCTTTTATTTATTTCTTTTTATGTCCCATCTGTGGTCAATAAAAATTTTATTATTAAATTTGAAATATTTATTTTTATTTTTATTGAATTTCTCATTTATTTATTTGAAAACATGTTTACTTTGGTTGCTTCATTTGTGTTATGTGCCATCATATATTTACATATATGTACTATGTGTATGTAGATCTATGCATAACACATATACATATTTTTCTGATTTATTGGGTTCTTCACTTTCCATTATTCACTTTACCACACCACGTTTTGCCGCAATATTATTCTTTATTATAAGCGAGTATTACTGCACACCTCGTAAATTCATGTCAACACAAAATAGATAATGGAAATAGGTAAAGAATACGAAGTGCAACCCTATTAATTGGCAGATGACGCGATTCACAGCTCACAGCTCGATTGACCGACAAAGTGGCGTGTAAAGAGTAAAGAGGGGGGTGGGAATTGTGGACACATAAAATTTTATTAAAAATACATGAAAAGTAATATTGTTTTGAATGTTATTTGCTTTTTATAATGGATTCTTATATATAAATAAGTGTTTGCGGCCAGTGGAAAATTAACGACAACTAAATTTAGCGTGATCTGATACACAAAAAGTTAATTCCTGAGGATATGATTAAAACAGTGATTTTCCGGGAATATTCAATCAAATATTACAGCAATAGAGGGGTTCGGCAATTTCAAACAAGGATGGATGTAGATGACAAGAAATTCCGGACACAGCTATATGCACCACTTTTAGCTCAGTGAGACCTAATTTTGATAAAAGGTTTCAAATTATGACTCATAAGTTCCTATTGATCAAATAATTGCTTAGTTCTAAAGCGCTTTAGAGACTTGCCAACGGCTATATAGACCTGCGATATTCATGCACCCTCTATGAAAATGGGTAGTGCTGTATCTTGTTGTATGTGAAAACAATGTTTGCAGACTTATGTACCTTCTAGGAGTTTTGTCTGCCATTCCTCTGTTCATTGTAAGGCTTTATTTACAGTTTTTTGGAGATTAGTAGTTGCATCATGTTCACTACTACCAACATTGCTCGCTGCACGGTATCGTCTGCAAATGTGGCTATTGTATAATTACAGTCAACTGGCATGCGTGAATAGAATATAAAGAAGAGGGCCCAACACACTACCTTGTTCAACTCCTGCCTTTATTCCCCTAAGAATATAAAACTCGTATCCTGGTTTTACGTGGAAGTAGCGTCCTAATAAATATGATTTATGATATTGTAATGCTGAATCAGTAAAGTCCGTTTCTATTTCGAAAGCAGTCCTAGATAGATGTAGTCTATGGCTTATTTATCTACATAAAGGTTTGCGTGAAATAATGATTTGATATTGAGGTGCACAGTATGTTCGCCGCAAATGTTAATGAGGATTAGTTTTCCGAAAAAGTTAGCATTTGAAATATTTCTATAAATTGGCGGTTATTTGAACACACATCAGAGTAATCTGCATTGTTGTATGTTTCGATTCAGATTTTTCAGATGATTTTAATTATCCGTTCGAGAAAAGAAACTGAATGAAGTAATTATTGCAAATCTTTTCCGCTATTAAAAACAATCTAGATAAAAAAACGAACCTCATATTGATTTTGGTGAATATTTTGGCTATGAAACGCGTTCTTGCTCGACTCGTCTCAGTAAAACTGAATTTTGTTCAAAAATAATACCATAAACAGGTACTTTTGGACATGCTTGATCGTACGAATTCCAATTTCACATTCATGGCAGAATTTATTCTAGAGGAACAGACGGTCAATAAGGAGTTTTATTTGGCCATATTGAGACGTTTGCGTGAGAACATCCGTCAGCCACGGTCGGAATTGTGGAACAACAATTGATGAATTTTTACACCATCGCATCAAGCAACGATTTTGACCGAATTTTGGTATTTATAAATACCATCAATCAAGCACCGTATTCACCAGGTTTGGCTCCGTGTAATTTTTTCTAGTTCGCCAAAACAAAATTGCCGTTCCATGGAACGCTTTTCAAACGATCGAAGAGATAAAACAAAATTCGTTGAACGAGCTGACGGCCATCCCAAAAAGTGCTTACGAATTACGGGGATTACTTTGAGCAAACAAAATAAGTATTTATGAATAATTACCCTGTTCAGGATATAAATATATTTTAGATTTTACTCGCATAATCCATGACTTAACAAGGGACCATAAGACTGCAGAAAAACTACTATATTTTTCTATTATGTGCGCAAAACAAGATTTTCCAAAGTTAATTGCCCATTTATTACACCCACACGCTGTTTACACGCCACGCACAATTAACTATATAAACAAGCAAATAAACACAAAAACAGGATATTCACATTCAGCTCAGATAAACACCTGCAGAATAATCGCAAAACGCTAAGGCAAGTGTTAAAAAAATCGAAAAAGTAAAACAATACACTAACAAATGCTAAAAACAAAAAAATATATATATATATATCTGAGCGAATTAACTAATCAAAAGTAGAAAACTTTAATACGCTCAAATACCCATTTGTCGAATTTTCTTGTTTTTCCGGTATCACACAAATGTGGCAAGTTAAAGTACACGTGTATTTGAAAAGTTATCGCACCATGCCTATCAACGTTGGTTGTGTGCAAATATACGCATGTATGTAGGTAAGTGTGTAAGCTCATGCACAGATGAATGCATTTAACGGTGAATTTTTAGAAATGACGCCAGCAGGAAACTAACTACCACAAAGACGTAGAGTGGAAAAGGTAAGAAAAAAAGTGATTTTAAACTAACTGCTTGATTGCTACCAGCCCGAAACACGCAAGCAATCTTGCCACAAACTTGAAGCACTCTTCCGTTCACCTTTCAAGTACGTACATAACTGTATTTTTAGTTTAAAATGTTTTTTGTTTCCTCACTCAAGCCGCCGACAACTGTGCAATTTTCATGCAAAATCAACGTCGAGTATCGTGTTTCGGCTGTTCAACTTTTAGTAATCAACAAAAACAACAAATACATATGTGCAAGTGAAATTCTAAATTCAAAATTAAATATTTTCACCGAAACACACAAACGAACCGTACGCACGGCACGCACTTTATCGCCAATGTTTTATTTATTTTTGTATTTAATTTAAATTATTTTTTTGGAGGCGTTGCTCTTAGGCTCGCACAACCACCGCTTGCTTCTATTGATTTGAATGTTAAAATTAGCGTTTCGCGTCCGTATTTGGCCGCTTTGAATCTCAACACCGTGCAATCGACACTTTGAAACCGTACCTCATTGTGTCAACGTTTCTACGCCACTGAACTCAGTTGTCGGCAATGCACAAAGCCAAGCACCTCTTGGAGTCTACAAATGCGCGAAGCAAATGGTGCGTATGTGGTCTTGTTGCTTTTGTTTGGAGCATCCGGCGCCACACAAACCAGTCGGCGAGAGCTTATGTACTCTGTATGTACGCTGCTCTAAGAAAATTGTGTGTACTATATTTTGGATAAACAATAACGTCGGCAGACTCCTTCTCCCAACAATGTAACATGTAATGTGGGGAATACAATGCTCGCGACAGACTGCAAACGACATCTGTCAAATATTAAAACACACACGTTCTTATAGACGGACCTATTTTGACGGCTGCACGACTACACGACGTCAGGCCGACAGTTGTCGTTCTCGCTAACTTCAATTTTATCCTATATTTGCCAACGACAGTAGGACGACAGTAGAGTTGACAGTAGAATGGAAGATAGAGAGATGAGGTAGAGTGGTGATGCCACTAATATGTAAAATGTAAAATTACTCAAAGCTCTAACAAAACTGACGTTAWTTTACAAATAAAAGCATAAAATAGCTCTGTTACATCATTTATAATAACAATTGATAATTTAAAACAAATAAATTTACCTATTTACTTATTTTTTGCTTAAAAATTTCACTTTGAACAAAATATTAAAATTTCATTGAAGTGCAAGGTATTAGTATGGCCACAACGAAATTGTGTACATGCAAAATGGACAACTGAGTTGTTTTGTGTACATGCCGGCCATTGTTATGGTGCTGCCCTCTCACAAATGTTCTTGTAGTAGGATTCACAACGCCATTTTCAGTTCATTGTCGTGCTGCTGCAGTCTGTCGCTAGCATTGTGTTCCACACATAATGTGCACGTATTTACATGTAGGCAACACTCTTCAACAAAGTGAATTGTTTTGGAGTATTTGGAGTCAAATGGTAATTTTGAATGCTATGGGATTGGGTATGAGAAGTGTTCTTGAATCGTTTTAGGCGGAAAAGCAAAGTTACCTTTATACCTTCAGTATATTTCAATTAAGTATTTAAAGTGCCAAATTGAATAATTTAGACTTTGCCGGCTCCAAATTTCGAAACTAATCCCATAACATTTCGTTTACTAAATGTTAAGTTAAATATTAGTAATGTAGTTAGTGTAAATTGAGACTGAGTTTACACGAGAACACACGTGACTCAAATGGCAAGCAAAAGTGCAACAACTTTGAGTTGGTATTCTCTTTCATATCACATTCACAACTTCTTGTCTGCTTCGTGTACACGCTACATAAAAATATTTTTGATTAGCTAATTATTTTCTTTAGTCACCTTTTTCCAAAATATTTCTACTATGAGTGTGTTGCAAATATTCATCTGTTTGATTACACGGTGCACGGCCTCTGCCTCTGATTGTTGAGGAACGAGAATGGTAAGTTTTGGAAACCTGAATATAATTATGCTTATAATTATTACTAAAGAATGTGTTTTATAGAATTCCGACAAAAAAACATTCATTATGAAAGTATTAACTTTGAGAATCCAAATAAATACTTCGCGCAACGATGATACTTAAAGAGAACCGTTAGAGAAACATCGTTTAATCCTATTAGATATAACAAAGTACATTAGGAGGCCGATTAATTCATTTTGGACAAAGCTTTGTAAAGATTTCTACTGATGCAGTAGTTTTTAATTACATATGTATTATTAACTCCAGCAACGTAAGAAGCAGTTTTGGGAACCGGATTGCTAACGAAATCTATTTTTTTGAAGAAAACTTTTGCATGAACTGAGTTTCTGATATCCTCCGGTCTCTACACAAAATGGATAGGAACTACCGAAAAGCTATTCCGATCGAGAAAAGAGTATTTTTGCTCATCTGCAGAATATCTGAGTATCACTGATATGTTCCGAGTAGAAAAATTTACAGTGAAATTTGGTTGGAATTTCGCGCCGAGACTACTACAACCATCCCGATTCAAAATGCTGCCGCTAAATAGAGAGGCATAGCAGAATAGGTGACTAATTTTGAGGTACTTGGATTTCCACAATGCTTAGGAGTAATTGGTAAATATTACTAATCAAAATCTTAAACGGCCTAATAATTGTTTACAGACGGAAGCCCCTTTGATGTGAATCTGTGGATTATTACAACTGCAAAGGGTGCTATTTCACCGTTTTAATGACATTAGTTGATGCTAAGTAAAGACACCGACTATAATGAGTGGAATGTAAGTTTTCAGCGAAAACTGGTTTTCAATGTGTTTTCGTTTCACAGATTTTTTCATGGATAAAAACACAAGTTTTAGGGCGAAAACCAAATATAGTATAAGGTAGGCATGTCTTATGTGTTCGATTGCAGTTTTGAGAGGATCTTAATTAAAATGCTTTAATCTACGACCACATCATTGGTGTTTATTTCACAACTAAGTATAATTTTTCTTTTACATCAGGACTAAATCTCAGAAAAACTACATCAAACAAACAACAAATGTAAAAGAAACAAATCTTCTGAATACTAGTGTAAATTCTTAAGAGAGCACCAAATTGAAATTTTCTTTGTACGCTTATTGGAATGTACTCTCACAAGCTTTGCACTCCACGTCTCTCGCACTCAACACACAATTCCTACTCGAGCGGCACCAATTTCGCTCTGTTTTGATTTTGTTGTTTCGTATACTCGTCGTACCATTTGTTGTTACAATTGAAAAACTTTTGTTAGGTATACTCCGTAAATGCTTGACTATCGCCATAATTGACGCACTTGGTTTCGTCTAGTGGTCTACTTGTCTGGCGCCTAAACGATGTTATTGTCAGTCAAATTTGTTGGTTTTCGGTTATGCTTCGCGCTTTTAGAGTAATTTTCACTCATCTATCCAATTTGAGTTTAGCGTCGTCACATCCCCCCAAAGTATTGAGTTTCAGGCGCTGTTTTTGATTTTATTGTTTCTTGTCCATGCACACTATGCTTTTAGGACTATTTCCTTTAGTGAAGCGAAGGAAAATTAAACCGAAAAGTTTTGGTTAATTATTTATATTATATAATTATGGTCCTTTTTATAGTGGGGTGTTACATTTGTGCTAATATTGTTTTTTTTTCTTCAACAGACTAATGGGAAAACGAAGATGGATCTGCATATACATATAAGAACTTTTATGTGTCACATACATACATACATATTTACGTACATATGTATGTGAGATGCGTACATTTGTAGATGTACATATATTTGCTATTTAAAAGAACGAGACTATTCAATTAGAGAGATACTCCTACTCTTTTTAAAGTTGGCCATCTGATCGTCAGGGCCCATAACTCAACAAAAAAATTAAAAAAAAAGCATCTTCAATAAGTGCCAACACTCGTAAAATCTACGGTCACCATAATTAAAGAACCTTCATGCAAAGCCAAACTCTACCTCAGATAGTAAGGAAAGAGGAAGCGAATTTGTCCATTACAGAATTTTATTTGAGTAAAATCATCTTTTTATGACAATCTCTGGACGTCTACTGACGAAAATTTTTCACTATTTCTTGTTTTAAGGACCCTTAATTGTACTTAAAGGCAATACCAAAACATTTTTTTTTTAATCTAAGACAAGCCTATACCCTCAAGAAGACTTTATTAATTGTGTGATGTCATTTAACAAACTAACTATTTTAAGGTAGTGTGGTAACCTTATTATAACTGGAAGAACCTTTGTAACACACAAGAATAATCGTAGAAGACCCTATGAAGTGTACCACTGTGATCAAAAAAAAAAAAAAACAAAAAACGTCCTTCTTTTACTAAGAAGCTGCTAATTTGTGGGAACCTCCGATATCGGACAACTATAGCATATACTAGATGGCCTTCAAACTAACCGATAAAACTCAAGTATTTGTACGTTAAACTTTTTTATTCGTCATCTTTGGAAATTTGTCATAAACTATTATTAAGGGCATCGCTACAATATCTGAACGTATAGTTTTGTTCAGTTCAATCCACTATAGCTTAAAGTTATCATTCAAACTGATCGATCATAACGGTGCAGACGAAACTAACGCTTTGTTTTTTGTTTTTTGTTTACTCACATACAATAGACATCAAATGAAAGTATAAATGCAGAACTTTTCTCTCGAAAACTCGCAACGTCGACTCATCAGTTGTTTGTTTTGAGATAAAGTAATTTAGTCCGATGAAAAAACACGTAAAGCGAATGTGGTGTAAACCTACTTAAAAAAAAAAAAATACTTAAAGCTACAGTGCGTACAATCATCAGGGAAGCATGGAGGATGTTCTCTCATGGTTTGGGGCTGTTTCTGAAAATTTGTTGTAGGTAGTGTATTTAAAATCGATGGACGAATGATGGTTGCTTCATATGTTGACATTCTTAGCGAAAATTTGAAAATAAATCAATTATTATAAAACAAGTTTTCTTAGAGACGAAGCCGTCAATTTGACATTATTCCAATGAAAGTATTAGAAAATTTGGTTCGAGGCATGCCAAAACATCTTCATGCAATAATTTAGAATAAAGAACGCAATATTAATTACTTAATTTACTTTCAAAACAAACGTTTTGTATTTTTTCAAAATTTATACGATCATTTGACTACTTTTGTTTAAGAGCCCTCTTTTTAAAGTGGAACACATTTTTTTCTATTCCGGAGAAAAAAATAAATAAATTTATAATTTGTTACTTAAATACCTATGTAAATGTAAAATTAATGTATGAATTATTAATTCTTTGTTTTAATAAAAAACTATATACCTTCTCACACTTAGGCTTTATATTCATTTGCTTCGAAATTTTCAGAAACAAAATCAATCTTATTGCCTGAGCCAAATTGATTAAGTGTGAACAATGAAAACGATCAATGACCAACTAACTCACTTGAATATGGCATAATTTGGGTTCCACTCAAATTTAGTACCTTACATATTTTCCTTTATATTTCCACCTCGTTAATTTATTTACCGTTCGGCGCGCAAAATACATAAATAAATACTAATTAAAGTAAATACATTTTTATTGCTTTTGTTT